TATGGTTGTAGCACAAATGGGTCGGCTCGACTGGGAAAGGACCACCCTCTCACAGAATACAAGCGTAAAATATATGCCTAATACTGCTGTGTTTCGTATGGTGAGTGTAGAGATCTGGAGACCCTTTTTAATGGAAAACTCAGGGGTGACAACGCATCTGCGTTTTGATTCTTAATTGAGGATAAATGTATATGTCTATGGGCCGCAGCATTCACTTACCATCAGGTGGAACGTGTGGCCATTTGTCACACTTTTACCTCTTTATAAAATTAAAATAAAAATAAAAATATTAATGGCTTGTTTACTATGGAAAATTCGAAGGCGGCCTATGTCCTACCACGACGTAACACTATACTCACTAGTATAATTGTATACTTATGTTTTAATCTCACAGTGTGATGTAATGCGATGACATACGATAATGTAAAAGTAAATATTACGGTTGTTTATTTTCAAACACGTAAATAAACTTTTCCATTGTCCGAGATACATTTATCGGCTGTAGTCCGAAATCGTTAATCGTCGCTATCACTGGAGAGCAGTTTTGATTAATTGGTTTATTTCTATTACCAACTTTCATCGTTTGGCTAATGCTAGTGAAACAAACAAGTAAGTAAAAGAAAAGTTTCAGACTATTAAAGCACAAAGTCTCATTTGGAGGGCCTAATAGAACGAAGCAGATTTTACTAAAAGTCCTTCGATTTTTTATTTGATTAACAATAACTTCTTATAGTACTTTGATAATATAATGGATTGGCTTTTTTGATAATGGACATGAAAGCTTCAATTTATTGTTTCAGTCATTGATGTTTTTTTTTATTTGTAACATAAAATGTGCGTTCTTACTTGTTACTTTGTACGTCTGGATTTGTTTCCTCGTTTATTTTATAATAAATGTTTTGATTAAATAAATCGTAACCATCACCCTGCTTGATCCTAAAGAGGCGCACAGGTAACCACAATAGCGTTACCAAAGAAGAACGTCATGTTAACAATGTATTTAATTACAAATGTCATTGTATTCAAAATACATTTCCCTACGATTTGAATAAAATTCAGCAAAATTTTTAAAATCTGACAACACCGTCATGTGACGATATACAACATGTAACAAAAACCCTGTGGTTCCCGTTAGTACATTATAATCAGTAATCAGGGTATAGAAATAAGTTTTTTTTTTTTCAAAAATTTAATCTTAATGAAAAAAAACTAATTTGCAAATTGTATGTGGTTTTATTTCCTCTAACTCACACGAGTATCGGTAATGCGGGGTCTTTGACAATCACTCAATCAATCAATTTGACAAACACATACAATTTGCAAATTAATTTTTTTTCATTAAAATTATTTTTTAAATGTGTTTTTTTTAAATAAATTGTTTCCACGTCCTTGGATACTGACTCTGATAATGTAGTTAACGGGAACCACAGGGTTTTTGTTACACGTTGTATATTTTGACTTGCTACAATATTTTTACCCGAAGCCGCGGGTGCTGCACATATTGCCATGTTAGTTTCCCCATTGAATTAAATTATATTTTATTTTTGTGAGGTAATTTTTTTAATTTTTTTTTGAAAAGGATAACACAAACAGAATCATATCACAATAGCGTAAAAGCATTCTCAAGAATCAAACAGGTTTTTTTAACATATTGTACATTTTTTACCAGTTGCAAGAACTACATTTAGTTTTTATAAAAGTACGAACATGGTAATTTTATAAATTTTTATACTGCTGATTCAGATTTACCTTTTAAACAACTCATATCCATTACCTTTGAAGTTTGAATAAAGGCCTTCCTACATACTGCCCAAACTATGGTCTTGAATTTAAAAAAACTCATATAAAACCTCTTGTACAATTTTCAGATATCTGGGGCAACTTTAATAATAAAATGCTATTTCTGTTTCTAATTGCCGCGTTAATACCTGCAACGAGAACATATAAGACTGCGAATCAAACTTTGTGTGATGGTATTATTTTTCAACAAGTTTACTACGATAAAGAACTACTAGTAACAAATTTGGGACGGCCATATAATCTCTTTTTGCATAAATACACTGGAGATTTATTCTTTAGTCATACAATACATACTGGAACTCAAGTGGACTTCGGCATAATGGCATGTAATGTAGATAGCAAAGAGTGTTACCCAGTCGGTGGAGTACCAGGAGGATATGCAATTGGTTACGATTCAGCAAAAGATGACCTATACTTTGGCGGTCACAATGGAATTTACAAATACAACTTTGTCACTAAAAAAGCAGAGTTCTTTGCTGAAGAGGGTAAATCTATATGGGCTATTTTCGTAAGAAGAAATTTTTACTATATTGAATACCCAACACAAAAACTTTACGTTTATCGTAGCAATAACTTTGTTCAAGTAGCAGAAGCAATCGGCATAGAAATTTTAATTTTTTACGTAACAAAAAGTTTAGAAATATATTTCTCTAATAAAACGGCACTTTATAAAGTCGACAAGGTCAGTCATTTTCCTTTAATGCTAAACGACGAAATAATTGTACGACAAATAGTTGAAGATAATTATGGTGACGTATATTTTTGTGCCAATGACGGTATTTATATAGAAGATAATCCATTTCATAGAGTGAAACAAGTTGCTTCTATTAGTCAAGGATTCGGAATGACTTTTGATGAACATGAACGTATTATATATTCGGATAAAAGTAGTATTTATATACTGAACCCAAGCAACGATTCAGAGTTTTGTTATGATAAACATTTTTATAACAGTGATTAAGGTGTTAACCGTTTTAAAAATTAATAATAACTTTATGAACAATATCGGATTTCAGATGTCTTTATCTAAAATCGGTTAATGTTCTCTTTTCAAGAAATATATCGACAATTTTTAAACCGCTATAAATTAAGATTTTATTTGTATGGAGAACATGTTTTAGGTACATAACTTGTAGGCCTTTCAAACATTTGTTGCGTGCGTGAAGCTACTCCATAGCTTACAGTACCACAGTCTTCAAATTAAGATTAGACAAGCCTTCAAGTTACGAGAAAAAAGAACCCATTATCAAAATATTGTAAATAAAACAAGCGATTCTAGTGAAGCAAATGATTAGAATATTCGAAAATGTATAAAATATACATATTTTTTATCCCTTGATTGTGTAATAATTACATATGTTAATAAGTTAATCTCTATATACAAAAATCTATTGCTGTCCCTTAGCCTCACAAAAACTCGATGATTTTGATGGCTTATTTTTGTGTATTGGAGGGGGTAGTTTGAAAACACAGTTGGATCCAGTAGATGGCTCTGTTGCAAAACCGGGACGGATCGCTATGTATTAAAAATAAGGAAGACCTTTAGTTTTAAATGTTATAACAACTTAATCAGTAATTTAAGAAAATATTAAATTAAACATATCTTATATATCTTAATATATATAAATTACGTGTCTCGTTGTTTGTCCGCGATGGACTCCTAAACTACTCAACCGATTTTAAACAAATTTGCACACCGTCTGTAGTTTGGTCCAACTTTTTTAATAGGACTTGACAAATTGTCAAAAAGTGCAGAATAACGTGTGCCAGTCAAGCTAGTATTTTATTAAAATTCATGTTTATTTGTTCGTATTTTACGCGCTGCTGTACCGTTCATCATATAGCGATAAAAGTTTGTCAACTTATTGGGCAAAGGTTATAGGCATAGTACAATTAACTTACACTAGGCGGTGCGCGTATCGTACCGACAATTTTTTTGAAAAGTTATATTACAGCATTCAATTTCAGTGAATGTATTATCTGTTCTGAATAAACAATATAAGCCTTCTAAATTAAAACGAATATATCCACGATTATTTCTTCCGCGGCAGCAACCCGCCGGCTACCGTTTAATTTTAAATAATAAATATTAAAGTAAAATGATACCATATTCTATTGCCTTTTAAATTAAAAGAATTTGTATATATTGATACAGTAATTTGTATTTGGCAAAGAAATACTTTTTAATTTAGTGGTTTAATCAACCTCCAATTTGTTGTAAATTTAACAAGACAATATACTTTGGGATGTGAAATAATAACCCGTAAGTTTGTTGATTATATACGGGCGATTTTATTGTGCATAATGTTGAATGTTATACTTTGTTAAACATATCAATTCATATGTGAATAATTTGAAACAATAAAGCACAATTACAATAAAGACTACAGTCTGATCTGTTTTGATAATTGTACATTTATTTTATCAACATCCCATCAACAACATTAAGACCATTTTGTGTTAAGCGTTTGAACAGTTGAATCATGCGAAAAAAATTACGAAAATTTTAAATATTTGAGTGATGATAGTGTAGTAAGTGATAGCAATATCAAGTAAGTATGTATCTATTTAAAATAAAAGTCTTAATTATGCTATTTAGATTGTTTATATAAGTATTTAATACATTTTATAAAAATATTCCAATTTACGGATAATCGTTATTTACATATTTTAAGGTTATTTTGATATCGATGTTTATTTTTAATATCTTGAACTACTCAATATTATTTTTCTCTTAATTTTTCAATCAAGGAGTTTAATATAAACTTGGTTTATTGTGTACGTCTCTGTGAATATATTTATTTTTGTTTTTTGATATTATTTTTTTTAAAATTTAAGATATGGGAAAGTACGATTCTTTTAAAATCAAACAAAAATTTGTGAACTTTAACCTTAATAGAGACAGAATATAAAAACTTGTGCTAAAATGAGCAGACCATTAATAACAGCGTTGTATATTACAGATAATGACTTTAAAATTATATATTATGCTTAACGCACTCGCTTGCATACAATGTCTACATAATAAAACTTGTGACCGTATTAAAATTCGCAACCGGTGGTACGACATGGAGATCATATGGGCAAACTTCGGCAGACCTTTCAACCTTTACGCGCATAAAACAACGAACAAAGTGTTCTTTAGCTATACAGTGCCTGAAACATATTCCGATGTTGATTTCCAATTAGCTTTTATAGATATGGATACAAAAGAGTTTCAGAATATAGCAGGCATTAGAGGAGGGTGTTCCGTTGCGATAGATAATGTCAATGAAGACATTTATTTAGGTGGAAGTGATGGAATTTATAAATACAACATGATGACCAAATTAGCAGATTTCTATAAAGAAGCCGGAAAAAATATCTGGGCACTATTTTTCAGGAGAAACTTATTCTACATTAGCTATCCAGATCAAAAACTACATATCGAAATAGATGGAAAATTTGCAGTAGTCAAAGAATTTGAAAGTTTCGAAGTTGATCAATTTCACGTTACAACTGACAGTGAGGACATATATTTCGCTAATAAAACGGGATTCTACAAATACGATAATGCTAGATTGAAAGTAAATGTTATTAATGATGTGATCACTGTGAGACAGATAGCCGAAGATAACGACGGAGATCTGTACATTTGTACAAATTTAGGGATTTTTGTTGACTTGAAACATGAAGGATTTAAAAAAGTACTGGATTTGAAAAACATCTACAGTATAACGTTCGATAAAGATAACAACGTCATTATTTCTGATGAAAAAAGAATAATAAAGCTGATACATACAATGACTGGTTGTCCTGGTAAAGACAACTCACACTGGTGAGCACTTTATTTATTGTTATTTGAAATTCATGTTTAAAATGAAATAAACTTTTGAAACTACGATGTATTTATTTTAATTTAACCTGATGATACGTTATTCTACAGATATCTGCATCCAACTTTAAACAAAAAGGTTATATAATGTAGTGTAGGTATTAATGATCTTTAAAGACTTTAACACGTGGTAGAGCCATGTTGCAGCTATATTAGTAGTAAAGTTGTAGCAAGAATGGGTCGGCTCGACCGGGAAAGGACCACGCTCTCACAAAATACCAGCGTACAATAGCAGCTTAACGCTGCTGTGTTTCGTATGGTGATTGCAGAGAACCGGAGACCCTTTTTACTGGAATCGAGGCATTCCATCTTAGTCCTCACGAGTGACAACGCATCTGCATTATGATTCGTAATCGAGGATAGATGTAGATGTCTATGAACCACAGCAACCACTTATCATCAGGTGGACTGTGTGCTCGTTTGTCACCTTATCCTACAAAAAAAACTTAGAAGATATTTTAAGTTCATTATGCGTAGATCTGATCTGAAATTAATAATCAAAGCTTAAGGTAGAGTTAACTATGAATTCAGAATGTTAAACACCTCAGTCTCAATCAGCCCCTGACCATGAGTGCAGCAGGGCACTCACATCGTGAATGTATAAAAATATGAATATTAAACGCGATAACATCCGTAAAAATTAGCTGGCATCAATGTTCTTTTAATTATTCATATGATCAAAATTGGTACTCAATTTTATCATTAAAATTTTTGGTCAGATAATTGCAGTTACTTGAAGCCAAATTTTAAATTTTAAATTCGCAGTGCTATCACGAGAGACTTAAAAATAAATTCCGTTTTCATCGCAACATTTAAACACCCGTCGAGAGAATTAATTATGCATGAACACGTGGACATACGGCAGAAGCGCAAATTATATTTTAAAATTACATATCTCTGGTCACTAAAATTATCTTATAGTCTAGCCAGATTCAGTGGTATAATAAAATCTTTTTTTATAGGATAGGGTGACAAACGAGCACACAGTCCACCTGATGGTAAGTGGTTGCTGTGGCCCATAGACATCTACATCCATCCTCGATTACAGATGCGTCGTCACCCGTGAGGACTTAGGTGGAATGCCTCGTTTCCAGTAAAAATGGTCTCCGGTTCTCTGCAATCACCATACGAAACACAGCAGACGCTGGACTTGACGCTGGTATTCTGTGAGAGCGTGGTCCCTCCCCGGTCGAGCCGACCCATTCGTGCTACTACTATACTACTAATATAACTGCAGCATGGCTCTACCTACTCTACCTGCCACGTATACATTTTTTAAATATATTTTGTATAAATTGTACAAATATTATATTACACTATACGGTGTCATAATAATTGTAGTAATAATAATACTAGGCTGCACTAAAAGTATCGGGAATGGAATATTTCCACTGTTTTTGTCATATTAAAATCTTTTTAATTAAAAACTCCTTGGTTTTAAAAATTGAATACCATTTATTTATTTTAAAAAAAGATTCTCGATCTTGTCACAAGGTTTTGTCAAACTTGTTTAGTCGATGAGAAAATGGATTTGACTCGAGAAAATTCAAGAGCGATAATTTATTATGAATTTCGAAGTGGTTTAACACAAAAACAGTCTATTGACCGGATGATTTCTGCATTTGGTGATGAAGCCCCATCCAAAACCACAATTTATCGCTGGTTTGCTGAATTTCATCGTGGACGTGTCAAGCTCAGTGATGATCCCCGTAAAGGTCGTTGAAAAAACTGCAGTCACCCAAGAAAACGTTGATGCTGTGCGTAAGCTGATTGAGGAAGATCGACATGTGACATACCGCGAAATTCAGGCAACTTTAGACATTGGCATGAGTTACATACAAATAATCTTGCATGAACAATTAGGTGTAAAAAAGTTGTTTTCCCGATGGATACCGCATTCGCTCTGTGAAGAGCAAAAAGCGGCTCGCGTAACTTGGTGCGTCAGAACTCTCGAAAGATTCCACGCAGGATCCTCAAATGCTGTATACAACATCGTATCAGGTGACGAATCCTAGATATACGCGTACGAACCCGAAACAAAAAACCAGTCATGAGTTTGGGTGTTCAAAAATGAGTTAAAGCCAATAAAAATTGTTCGTTCACTGAGTATTGCAAAAAAATGGTGGCCACGTTTGTCTTCAAAACCGGCTATGTTACGACTATTCCCCTTGAAGGATAAAGAACGGTTAATGCAGAATGATTGATGATTGATGCAGATGCATTTGTTTGCTCCTGAACTCCGTAAAGAGAACTGCAACCGCCGCATCATCCTCCATCACGACAATGCGAGTTCTCACACCGCACACAGAACAAAGGAGTTTTTAGAGCAAGAAAACATAGAATTATTAGACCATCCGCCGTACAGCCCCGACTTAAGCCCTAATGATTTCTATACATTCCCTAAAATGAAGAATAAATTGCGTGGACAGAGATTTTCATCACTTGAAGAAGCTGTGGACGCCTACAAAACGGCCATTTTGGAGACCCCAACTTTCTAATGGAATGGTTGCTTCAATGATTGGTTCCATCGTATGGAAAATGGTGTCAAATTTCGCGGAGAATACTTCGAAAAGCAATAAATACAATTTTAAATAGTAATGTTGTGTCACTTCCTTGATTCCCGAAATTTTCAGTGCCGCCCTCGTATAGTAAGATATAGTAAGATAGGTGTCATAAAAGATAGTCAGTTCGGCCGGGGTAGGACCACGCTCTCACAAAATACCTACGAAAATAGCAGCTCAATGCTGCTGTGTTTCCTATGGAGAACCGGAGACCCTTTTTACTTGAAACGTGGCATTTCATGTTAGTCCTCAGGTTTGATAACGCATTTGTATTTTGATTTTCAATCAAAGATTGTGATGACTGATTGACACGTCTGTTGGCTACAGCATCCACTTAACATTACATGAACTGAGTACTCGTTTGTTATATAAAATCTATAAAGAGTGTGCATGATGCACAATTCAAAAAATGAAGTATTCTTAGAACGCTCATTATATCCACACATTTGTATCTTTAAAATATTGGTGTAATTTATAATATACTGTCTTCGCTGAAATGCTGTTTACGGACGCATTAAAATTATACAATGCAATACGTAATATTACACTTGCAAATATAACGTGAAATTCCAGACAGAAAATTTTGACTTCCGGTTTATAATTACTATACTCTCTAATTTCAACAATATTCAACTGGAACTTAATTAAACATGCGCACACGAGGGAATTGTTTTAGTTATTTTAGGAAGCGACAGAATATACGTATGTGTGTGTAATCAAAATCGAAGTTTGTTTCATAGCTGCGGACTTTGAAATATTTGCAATAAAACAAAAGTAGTCCAAATATGTGTATCAAAATTTATATATATATATATATATATATATATATATATATATATATATATATATATATATATATATATAACTTTCTAGTGTATGTGAGTTTGTAAGTGAATGCTGCGGCCCATAGACATCTACATTCATACTCAATTAAGAATCTAAATGCAGATTCGTTTTCACTGAGGACTTAGATGGAATACCTCGTTTTCAATATAAGTAGACTCTTTTTCGTTGTCTACACTTATCAAACGATACACAATAGCAATAAGTTGCTATTTTAAGTTGGTATTCTGTGAGAGCGTGGTCCTAGCCCATTTGTACTTCAATCATAATATAGCAGCAACCTGACTCTACCACGTAAATATCGAAGGGGTTATCAACTTAAGTTTGTAATAAAGTTTCCACAGATTAATGATTTTAACACCTTTTAAAAATAAATTAATCCAATGGATTTTATACTCAAATCACAACTTTTATGACATAAAAGATATTTATTATACCTGAATAACTTTTAACTTCCATGGGTAGTATGTTAATTATAATTATGATTATTACTTCATTACTAGCTGATTGCTTCACAAGCGCACAGCAACACAGCGCACTATAATATTTTATTGCGGAACCTAGGTGTAAATTATAAAAAAAAAATTCCGTTCTTGTTGGGATTGCGAAATGTTTAACTATACTAAATTTAAAGTCAATCGGGTGTATAGTTTTAGAGATAAACATAGATATATAGAAGATTGTTTGATTATTATTTTCTTATTGCTACGTCAGTTAGTAGTTGTCTAACATTATCATAATTTAATTATTGTTCTTTATTTAATTTTATTGGGTTTTTAAAACATCAAAGGCAACTCACCTCCGATATGCCGATGAATCGCTGGCAATTAGAATTGATACTATGCTAGTGTATATAGTGTCTCCCAAAGGATATGTCTTAAAATCAACATTGACAAGACAAATTTCATGTGTAACGTCCATTACATACCTACGCCGGTAGTTCTTGGGTGCACCATTTTGTTGGGAATATTACTCGAAGTTGTCGAGTCGATTATATTTGTTTCGGAGATTACGACATATCTTTACGGCCATTTTTACTTTGTAATAGGTACCTAATAGTAGTTGACGAAAAACAAATCATTTCTAGCATTAAACTGGGTGTAATACCAAATACATAGGAAAATTTTCTAACTATTTTCATTATAAATATCACAAAAAGAATATTATATCGATGGAGTCTCTGTCGATGTACAGAGATACCTTGTAACTATATTAAATAAAAAAATGTTAAATTAATAATCCCTTCCATTTTTAAATATTTAAAAAGTGATTTCGACTTAAAAATTTGTAATATCTATCTATCTATCTATGATAAAACTTCTTGCTATATCAAATAATACAATTAAACATTATTCCTGTGAATTTTTGAAATATAAATATCTGTTGTAAAATATTATTAAGATATTTATTTCTCTTCTATTAATAACTTGTCGTTAATTTACTCTAAAAATGAAGAAGTGTTAAAAGACTTTCAATATTAACAACAGTAGTTAATGTTGGGAACGCTAATTATAAAATAGCAAATCAAAAAACGAAAGAAGAA